CTGGTTTCTTTTCGCAAGTGGTTTGCTAATACTCTCGGTGTGCGCAAGACGCAAGAAGGCTTGCAAATTCATCTTCTGTCAATTACCAGCTGCCTTCTCAGGCAATTCTTCTGCGGGGCCTGCGCGGGCCCCGAGCCATTCCTCTTCTTTTTGCGCGCCTGGACCAACGCACAGATGTTGCACTGAAGAGTGTTTCCTCAATTTCACTAACTTTCAACGCCTAGTGGAAATAGAGTTGCAGGGATTCTTCTCAATGCTTTTTGTGAATGCATTGCGCGCGGATGATTGTCAGAGAGCACATTTTTCAATCACCACTGTCCTTCTGTTTGTAGTCCAGCCCTGGTTGAACATGGATGTTGAGTCATGCGCTCTTGACTCTGTGGACGCGGACATCCTCCTGTTGATGAGCCAGGCAAAGGAGAAACAAGATGCCAACACAGGCCGTGGTAAGAAGCGGAAAGCCGGGTCAGGGCCAGATGGAGAAGGCCAGGAGCAGCAGTCTGAGGCTGCTCCCAAGAAGCGTGCAAAGTGCGCGCGGCATTGCAAGGGATGCAAGCAAAAGATTGCTGCTGAGGACTGCGCTCCTAACTTCCCAGGGTGTTGGAAGTGCAAGCGGGCCCTCGACAACATCTACAAGTTGGCGACCAAGCAGGGCAAAGAAGCTGTCGAGTTTGTGAAAAAACAAAGAGAGGATCCAGACCTTTGCTTCAACATGGTCCAGAGCTATTTGGAGTTGTGCCCGGAATGCTGCGATATGGGGGGCGCCAAGAACAAGAAGCGAGGCACTTGGTCTTTGGCCAAATACCGCGAGCGTACTGTTGCTGCAAGTGGCTTTGTGAAGGACGCAGTGGGTGAGATGATGCACAAGAGGCTGTACACAGAGTTTGCCATGACAGTCAGGGGGGGGGAGGAAGACTGAGGAGCAAATTGCTGCTACATGGTCTGAGTGGGAACAAAGGGCTCTTGCAAAAGACCCAGAGCTGTTCTTTGACTATGGTGGAGAGAATGGAGCGCTTCGAATTTGGGTCAAGACAGCTGACCAGCTCTCCTTCCGCTCTAGCTTCATGCAGGAAAAAGAAGCTGTCGTGGAGGTCGAGCAGAAAAAGAATGCGACTCAAGCTGATGTGGATCGCATGAAGGCAAAATCTATGAGCAACCATGACCCAATCGCTGACCAAATCCAGATTTGCCAGGCTCTTGTGCGACACGGTGACGCAGCCTTTCAGGGCAACGATGGGTTCCTGGTGGATGTCATGGACCTGGCAAAGACGTGTGAGGCCAAAGCTGCTTCTGAAGAAGCAGAGGGGCCAGCCAAGAAGGGTGATGGGGAAGAGGCGAATGGCTCGTCACCAGAGAAGCCAGCAAAGCCTTGGGTTGACCGGGACCGTGTTATTTCTGCCACAGTCAGATCATCCACCACGCAAATCAACCTTTTCAAGACCAAACTTGAGAAGGGTCTGAAGGACCACAAGGCAAGCTTGGAGGAGCACAAGTCCAACCCAGATGCGGTCTTCCAGAAGAACTTTGCTGGTGAAATCAAGATCCTAGCCAACCGTGTGGAAGCCCTTACCATCATTTTGGACACGCCCTCAGCTTGAAGTCCGAAACGCGCGCATGCTTCACTTGCAGCCATCATTTTTCAACATTATAGTTTTGCTCAAGATAGAGTTATAGAACTAAGGACCCCAACGGGGATGAAAACACGGTCAAGAGCTACATTGGGAGGTTCGACGCTGCTTTGCCAGAACTAGGTGAGCTGGACAGCAATCCAGTTGAGCTTGGGCGAGCCCCTCCTTGTGAGCTCTATGCTTCCCTCAAGCCATTCACTGCTTTGGAGGGCGCTGTCAAGAATTACCAGCGTTGCACGCAGCCTGCCCACGTGAAGGACTAGTTTGACTGAACGGCTTTGTGTTCCAGTGGCTGTTGTTGAATGCCTTCTGAATGTTTGTTTGCCACACCAAAGCCAAGAAGGCATTGATGTGCAGAGCCCAGGCCCCAAGCCAAAGTTAGCTAGCCCCGCTGACAAACCCCAGCTGAGTGGTCTTGGTCGGGGTTATCTCCATTGGTCCACAGGCATGCATGGTGTTTGGGATAGTCGATATGAGTTGCGGCGTCAGGGGTTATTTATTGGATGTTCAACTTCCCGGTTCATGATCACCTCTTTGTTTTTCCTTTGCGACGACATCATGTGCAGGAAGTGACAGCCGAGATTGTGGCAATCCGAGCTCCTATGACCCAGCTTCTGGCAGCTACATCCAGGGCTGACAAGGCGGTCAAGAGTGCTGTGGAGCAGTTGAAAAAGCAAACCGCAAAGCAGCAAGCTGACGCGAGCAAGCCAAAGAAAGCAGCAGGCCAAGCAGCTGCCCAAGTGCCCGTGTTTGACCAAGGAGTGGCTGGCGCCACTGCTGTTCAACGTGTGGCTGCAGACTGCAGCTTTGACATGTCCAAGCCCTTCAGCTTGGATTGCTCTTCTTGGGTGAGTGAGCTTATGAAGGATGGTGCGAAGTGCAGGCAATGTGTGGACTCCTTTAGGGATTCCTTCAACGATGCCCGCAAGAAATCCAAGGGGGCCAGAGTCTCGAAAGCTGTTGAGGACAGTGAAGTGCTAGCGGCTCTGCAGAGTAAAGTTGATGACCTCTTCCTGAAGTCTGGGCGTGTGGTTGCCCGGGACTCAATGACTAAGCAGTTGCAGGATGCCTTGCAGGTGAGCCTCTTTGGCATTGATGCTAGCTATGACAAAGTGAGTGGTGAATTCCTTGGCTGCGCAGTGGCGCGCTTGTCTGTAGAAGGCACGCGGACTGTGGTCATGACTGAAGTGTTGCAGTTGCAAGGGTTCATGCAAAGGAAGGGCATTGCTGGGTTGATAACCCTAGCAAAGATGTCAGCTTTCTTCCGCGCCATGAATGTGGCGATGATCCAGGACTATCAGAAAGAGTGTGTGTTGTGGTCTTGCACTATGGGCCCTGGCGATTTCTTGTATGTCCCCTATGGATTTGTCCAGGCCGAGTTGGTCCAGCAACCGACAGTTGGCGTCCGCGTGCCTTTGGTCTGCAAGCATTCAGCGCATGAGAACTCAAGTTTGTGCCTCTCAAAAAGGAAAGCAGATTGTGAGCGCCAACTTGCTGAGAAGGGAGACAGTGGTGGTGCCAGTGCAGCGGCTGGGGTGGACGCCGCAAAGCTCAAACAAGAGATAGCTCTTTTGTCCGACTTGTCTACAGCCATAGCTAGCTGAGCCTTCTACTAAGTCTCAGGGATGAAGGGTGAATGGAACCGGCTGACAGGCGGCTGGGAGGGCCATTCTGAAACCTTTCTTTTTCTAGAGCGAGGGCCGTGTGGAAGAAAAGAACACCTTTGTGAGACTTTGTGCATTTTTTAGTTTTCCTCTCACACTCCAGCGCGTACAGTAGCAGACATGGGTTGTATTGTTTCTGTGTGTGTTTCATGCGCAGCCTCTCAGAAATGTCCCAGACTTAAACGCTCAGATTCGATGTTTCAGTTCACCTCTGTGCTCAGGCCAACTTTAGCTTGAGATTCGGGGACCACTTGTCTCACCAAGATTCCAAAGGCACAGAACCATCACCTTGCAGCAAAGAGCTGGCTGCCAAATTCTTACGACAGAAGCTCCACTGCCTTTTTGTTTTTGTTGTTTAAAAACATTCGCACGCCAGTGTGATGCGCTACTGAATCTCTAAAAGTTTGTGAGCAGCCAACAAAGCTCGCCCCAAAGAGTGAGGTGCTGCTTGATGTGGCGGAGAGCAAATGCTCCTTTTGGAAGCCGTCCATTTTTGTCAGACAAAGGGCGCAGAATGTCTGTAGTGGGCACACCCAGGAGCTTTTCAATCTGTTGAATTGAGCTGCCTGTTACTGTGCTTCGTTCTCATCCTTGTTGCTTCCACTCCCCTTCACTCCTCTTGTGAATGACATCCCTCCCAGCGCATTTTGCACTTAACAGGTTCTCGCATAGAGCAAGGTTTTTCTCAGACTTGATTCTGCAGTCTTTTGACCCGTGTCTACAAACCAAACAAGCAAAAATCTAGAGTTGATGTTTGCAAACTGCATCGGTGTTTTCATGGGAAACTCTTTCGTGGACACAGTGCCCTTACACCCTTTTAAGGGGTTCTACGAACCCGCAGGCTCAAGCGCCGCCAAGGCACAGGCCTAAGTTGCTGGTTGCGCAGTCATGTGTGTAGGAGTGTGCTTATGTCCACGGCTTCTCGTTGGATAATTCGTTTGCGCAAAATTCATTTGAACGCTGCGTCCAGTATCACTGCGCCAAACGCACCGCTCTGGATGTGATTTGTATGGTAGCGTAGCCTTGGGTGATTCTTGCAACTGTGTGCATCTCGCTTGGTGCTGTACAGGCCTTTGGGCCAGTTTCCCCAGAAAAGCAGGGACCAAACTGCAACCGCGGAATTTCATATGGGCATGTATTGTAATAGGGAGACCCGTAGAACCGGGAAGACTGGTCGATGTTCCGAACGGGGTTGGAACCGCCGGCGGTTCGGTCTACCTGCGACATGACCGTCTCCAAGCTTGGAGTGTTTGTTAAGCCCCAAAATGAGTGCCAGGAACCAACAGCTTGATGACCAGCATCAGCAAGACTTTGTACATGGCTTTTCTTTTGTGAGCCCTAGCAGTGTTTCTTGATATATTCTATGCAGGTTTCACCAGGTCCCAGAAGCGAGATCAAGACCCAGATAGCACGCTGGGAGCCTGTTCGTTGCAATTGCGTGAGCTGATCTAGAGTGCTTCTCCAGCTTTCTTTGGGAGTAGACAGTATTTGGATAGTTCATTCAAGTGAGGCTTTAGATCTAGACTCTAGACCCTTCTACTTGCCATCCTCGGTATGAGGCTTTATCTCGTGGTTTGATTTGCGGTGCTTTGAAATCTTCTAGTTTCACTGAGCAGACGCTCCCCAAGAATCGTGATGGCTCTGATTTTAACTTGTTCAACAAAGGAAGATGAATGAAGCAAGTCACCCGTGTCGACCGATTCTGCAGGCGATTTGGTGGTGCGGTCTGCTGCAGCTGTGTGACGTCCCAAGTGGGTGGGCACGTCCCCAGCAACGTCGCATGAAGTCACTGACTCTTCAAGATTGATACATGGATATACATCAGAAGTCATCAGAACGGATGCTGGGGAAGAGGAGGACTTCCTCCAACATGCTAGGTACCAAGTGGTCCAGGTTTCATATGGTATGCAGTTGCTCCAGCATTCAGGGGGGTGAAGTCATACGGCAGGCATCTTTGCAATTGTTGATGTGATCTCTTTGCCAACAAGAAGCAGGATGATTAGCCGATATGACCCACTGGGGGAGTTTTTGACCAGACTTTGGTTGAGTGACCAGGAATGGATGATTAGCCGACTTGTTGGCTGGCCTGGCGTAACGGCAGCACTGATAGAGGGAACCTGTCTCATCCACTGTCCACCGTCCATTTCGAGATTTGTCGAGTTCATCAGCAGCATTCAGCAGAAGGATTTTACATGGTTTCTTCTGTGCTTTGGCATGCTGCTCAGCTCGATACCATTTGGCCATATTGCTTGACCGTATAGTTTAATCCTTAAATCCATGGAGAAGCCCAATATCTTAATTCTCGGAGAAGGATCAGCATCTTCTGCAGCCATCGGAGTTCGGTGTGGGTTTGTGACCCCAACGCTCTGGTAGGTTAATAATTATGGCCGGTAGTGTCGTCTCACTTGTCCATTTGGTTCATGTGAGGGCTCAGGTGCTTGTCCGTGGTCCACCAACGGCGTTCGTCGGCCTTGAGGTGCTGTATAGGCCTTTGTCGCTCTCTCGCGGGACGCGAGTATTTGCGCACCTTTGTGCAGGCGGGATGCTGTCAGACACCACACACACTCCGCTTCGTGAGTTCTCGGTGCTGGGCGCATACATATACCATGCATGGTTCTTCTGTAATTATATACTTTAGTCAATGCAGAATTGGACATTCCTTTGAGTGTAGTGCCTTTCCTCGGTTTGCTTTGTATGCTGTTGGTTCCTCCACTTTATTGCGATCATGTCTTCCTAGTGTCACAGCCAGGATACAGTCAGTTAATTGCTTGTGACACAGGTGCTACCCCGTGGAAGCTAACCATGGACGCTGAAAACCACTGGTTTGTAGAAGAAAACGGTCTTTCAGGGTGCCATTCTCAGGGTCCATGTTTGTTTTCTGGAGTGTACCACCCATGGCACACAGGTCTTTCGTTCTTGGAAAGAAGCAGAGCCCGATGCCACGGTGAAGGACAACCTCGTGTGGAAGGGGGTGAGGCTCTGAACGAGATGGCCAGAGGGTATGTTTCCTGAAGCCACGCAAATCCGTAGTTTCCAAAGGTGTTCATGGATTGTGGTTTGACAGACGTGTTCAGGAAAAAGGTTTCTTGACAGTTCCACCCACGATCCAAGATCGGGACCATCCTGTCGGGCTCCGACCATCCTGTCGGGCTCCGACCATTCTGTCGGGCTCCATTCAAAGTTGGGTAGTCGCGGCTCATTTTGTGCATGATGAACTTGGGATGTGCAGGTTCCACTCATGGCGGTGCCGGTGGAATTATATACTCACACCTGGATGTCAGAGTCAGGGGTCCACTCAAAAAAGGTAGTTTCCTCTTGCTGGACTCCAAAGGCCTCGGTCGAAGCCCCAAAGTTGCAGGACAATCTTGAAGTGATTTTGCCTGCAGTGGTGCTCTCAGAAGAAGAGTTGAGTGAACACCAAAAGTTGGTTGAGCAAGATAAGCCTCAGCCATCTGCATAGCTTCGATAGCTTGATTTTTCTTGCCCCCATCCGTCAACCATTTGTTTTGGCTGGTTGATAGGTGTGTCTCAACAGAGGTGGGAGCTCGCCAAAGTTGGCTCTCTTAAGGCAGCCTTGATGAAGGACAATTGATAGGACCACCATGGTTGCTGACAAACCATGACCAGCCGTAACAGGCTGGAACTCACTGATACTGTAAAAGGATATCTACGAAGGACAAAGGAGGGATGCTCAATAGAAGGTTGTTCAATGTTTGTTTACAGTACAATGGTTCATTGGGAGACTATGTCCTTTCTTCACCACAAATCCAACATGTTTTCTGGGATGAACACATATTCAAGCCACAAAGGTGCAGCAGATGGAAGCGGCCGTTGCGTGAGTCCACTTGGATTGTCCCATGACATTCACAGATGGAGGCCCAAAGAACTTTACTTATATAGTACTTTAGTATCTCCCGGTGCTTTACGCTGCATCCTTGTTCGAGAATGGTAAGCCCCATAGACTAGCATGTTTGGGAATCGTTTAAATCCCGTTTCAGCAGTCTGCGCATTGAACACTTCGCTACAATGGAACCTTTAAAACCAACCAAGGTACGGGGCCGTCTCGCTGAAAAAAAGGGGTAGTTTGGAGTTTGCTGACTAAACTGGACGATCCCACCTAGCCACTATGAGACACATGACACATGATTTCGACATCCTCGAAGGCTCAACGGCGAAGGCCGAATGCCTTCAGTCAGACTTGAAAAAAGAAGTATTCATCGGCCCAAGATGCGCAGAAGAGGTGGCGGGCATAGCCAGTAGGACCCGTCAAAGGGCTATATTCCAATCCTCATAGTTTCAAAACCACCTGCTGGGATCTGAGAAAGAGACACAGGGATGTAGAGCGGAAGAGAAGCCAGGTCTTGGCCAATAGAGGTGTCAATGGACATTTTTATCCCTGGGGCCCTGGTGTGAATGGATACTATCGCTTCTGTTTTATTTTTCAGAGAAAAGCCATCAAATCCCGATGGGAGGACATGAAGCTGACCGATGCCAACTGGGTGTCCTTTGGGTTTGTTTACACTCTAGACTCTAGGATATCAAGATAGCAGAATATGACCCCGCAACAGTGGGGGAGTAGCCGCTTCCGTGGCCTCACAGAGGTCTTTGGCAGAACTGACCGAAGGAGCAAGGTTTGGACAAGCAAATCTATTGCAGGCTTTGTGCGATTGACATATTTTTGAACCAAAAGCGCCAAACGGAGAATTGTGGAGTCTGACACTGCCTCGGTTTAGTAACATTCAAAGCTCCTTTTGTCATTCCCGATGCACCAGAGCATTCACAAGCGAAAGACACTCATCGAGGGTATTCGATTTCACCAAGCATTGACTCCCCGAAGACTGCTTTTCCAGCACTGTGGCAGTTGTTCTTCATCAGCTCCAATGATGACCACGAGGGCTACCGGTATTCCGCCTTGGAGGCTGGTGAGCAAAAACTCGTCTGTCGCAACACCAGTTTTTGCATCTGACATGAAAGGAGATGGACAGGAGGATCGACTCTGTAGCATAGCAATTCTGATGACACACTGCTGTGTGGTCCGAGCAAGGAGAGGTCATCACTGCGACTTTGCTTTGTTACAGCTCCTGAAATCATTTTGTGGAACAGAATGCTTGCCTTTACCTTTTTATCTTTTATTTTTGTTAAAGCGATCAAGGCTGCTTTCAATCTCAGCGTCATAACGCACCAGTTTTGTGAAATGCAGTTTTCGTCACGAAGAGCGTGCTAGTGGCGACCAGGTGGGCAAGGTCTTTTCGAATGCGGACTACCTTTATCAGTTGGGCAAAGCTCTCAGATCGGTCGAGGGCCGGTTTTGAGTTTGAGGGCTGGAGAAGCTTCATTGGATGACCTTTGAGCTGCGCACCCAAGGTTTGGTCTCTCTTTTTTTTGCGACACACACTCTGACATTGGTATTCAGTTAACTCAGTTCCCAGGTCAAAAGGAATGAGGGAAACGCAAGGTGAAAGGGTCAGCGCAATTGAATTGTTGATTGTTTACTTGACTGCGGAAGCGCTCAGTGACAACGCTGCTGCACGTCGGCGGAAGGCGGCTGAGGGAACTCGGTTTAAGGGAAAGTATCATGAAGAACAACCATGGAACCAACGAACAGCGGCAGGGTGGACCATTGGTGTCGATGTGTTGATCCGCAGGTACAGGATCAAGCGTCCTTGATCCCTTCCCATCTGTGGTCGTAGCTTCGTTGCGTGCAGTGGACCACAGATGCTGCACGCCCCTGCCTCATTGAGTGGTTGTAATGGAAAACAGTGGCATTGAACCCTTTGGCACAGGGGGGTGACACACACACGGTGCCGCTTCGCGGCGCGCGTGTGAAAAACCTCAATAGTCACCTAAAAAGCCTTAGAAACAAAAGAAAAGAAAGACAGAAAGAGCAGCGCTAAGAGGGCAAGAAAGAAAGGTAGGTGTAGAAAAAGTGAATACTTAGCCCTTGACTGGGGCAGGGAAACGAGCCTCAAGAGCAACCTCAAAAGCCTGAGAGAAAGCCCAACAAACGACGAAAGGCGCAAGAAAGAAAGCGGGGGGCAGGGAGGGGTTGTATGTTCATGTGTGTGTACATGTGTGTGTCTGAATACCTAGCACTAGTTACTGATTACTTAGCAGAAATGAATTAAATGCAATAGTTAGGGAGCGGGACTTTAGTCTTAGACCGCCCGGGTAGGATAGGCTAGAACAGGGACAACAAAGGGAAAGGCACCGACACACAAGTGTGTCGAGTACCATTTCCCTATGTTACCCTAATTAGGTCGGGATAAGAACGCGGGGGGGGTGGGATGGGAAACCTGCCTGACTGCATGACTGCAAGGGGAGTACAGTTTTATAGCCCGGCGGCTGTGGTGGTTCACCGTTTTTTTGGCCCGACGGCCGTGGAAGCAGTAAATTCAGTTAAGGTTGGAGCCAGTGGTGAATTCCGGTGAAGGTGGAAAAGCTCAGTTACACGATCTCCGGCATGAATTCAGCGCCCCAGTGACGGGGATCACACTCAGCACCCGAGTGGGACGGCTGAGCGAAACACACCCTGACGTTGGTATTCAGTTAACTCAGTTTTCAGGTCAAAAGGAATGAGGGAAACGCAAGGTGAAAGGGTCAGCGCAATTGAATTGTTGAACAAATTGTTTACTTGACTGCGGAAGCGCTCAGTGACAACGCTGCTGCACGTCGGCGGAAGGCGGCTGAGGGAACTCGGTTTAAGGGAAAGTATCATGAAGAACAACCATGGAACCAACGAACAGCGGCAGGGTGGACCATTGGTGTCGATGTGTTGATCCGCAGGTACAGGATCAAGCGTCCTTGATCCCTTCCCATCTGTGGTCGTAGCTTCGTTGCGTGCAGTGGACCACAGATGCTGCACGCCCCTGCCTCATTGAGTGGTTGTAATGGAAAACAGTGGCATTGAACCCTTTGGCACAGGGGGTGACACACACACACACATCCGACGAATGAACTTTGACCCCCAAAAGAGGTAGATGCGTCCAGGACTAACTGCGAACGACATTCGAGTCCTTTTCTTTGCCCAGGTGCTGGCAACAACGATCCGCAGTTTGCAGTGGACGTGGGTTTGGCAACTTGATTCAACCACAGCGAGACCATAGTGGAACGCTCGCACGTACTGGGAATCATTTACCAATGTAAATTTACTAAATTATATTAAATGAGTTGTTGTTGAGGGAGAATACATGAGAAATTAGGGGTGGGTGATTATCAAAAACAAGTTCTCTTTACATTGAGTGAATCTACTTTGATGCTTTCATTCCTATAGATCAGTCACTATCAGAGTCGTGCACATGCATTGCACAAATGGGATTCGTTTGATGGCCCCATGGGATCCTGCAACGCCCCGGAAAGCGGCTCCAGGGCCGTCAACAACGGTGTCCGAAGCGGACTCTGCCAGCTCTCGCTGAGGAGATTGTGGGAGGAGATGAGACCACGAATTTGGTCACGTCTCTTGGGCCACAAAAGGAAGACGTTTTTGGTCAATCTATATAGGGTGTAGTCCATTAACGGTCACAGGCGGAAAGGATAATCACTGTTTGAGAAACGACTTTACTATCCATCATCATCCGTTGTTATTGGTAATGAGATTTACCCAACCTGAGCGATGTACCACGATGTGCAAACTCAAAGGGGTCCCTTGCTCGAAGATGGATTCAAAAACATCGGATGAAACAAACCAATGGCTTTCATGCCGTGAGATCAGTGAACAGTCCAGGGCTTCAAAAAGCGAGCTTTCGGTTTCAGGATATTCCAGGTCTTTAGTAGGTGATTAGGAGGGTCAGTTCCGATGGGTGTAGAGTTCGCTGGTGTTTCCTTCAGAGCTTGCTCAGAGCTTCTAGTGATTCACAGTTCGCCAACGACTGCAGCCTCGCCCCTCGCCAGGCTTCAGGATGGATCCACACGACTGCAGCTTCAGATGATGGGCGGTCAATACTCCACGGCGAAGATTTCCAGCTGGGAGCCCCGGCGATCGACGGAGTCGGAAGATGCGGGACAGGACCTCCGGAGACAAGATGGGGAGTTTGAGTCCGGACCTCTGCCAGAAATGGGAACGGACAACTCGGAACCGGATCGAGGTTGGGGCTATTTCTTCGGGCTAATGGGTCGAGGTTGGGCTGTTTACCACGATGTTGGCCACAATGCTGGTGCGGAGACGTCAAACCTGAAAGACTCTCTGGAAGACTCAAAGACGACCGGTCCTGTTTCTCCTTTTACTATACTATACCCAGACGCTCCATGGGACTGCCATATATGCCTACATTGGGGTGGTGCCAGGGTAGCCAATTAGGCATATATGGCATACATGGAGTGTATGGGATATAACATAACTTTACCAGTTGTGTGTGTCCCACGGGGTTTGAGGTTAAACACAATGTGTTTGAGACGTAGCCAGGTTGATTCCCTGAAAGGCCACTCACACTTTCGCTCTCCAAATGGCTCACTCTTTTCTGTCAGGAGGCAATCTGCTGAGTATTTGGCTGGAGCCGTTGACCGTCCAGGGCTGAGCGCTTTACCTCTGGCACGGGAGGTCTGGACGTGGTCTCAACCTGCAAATTTGGCACACCTGTCAGGCTTCTCGTCGATGCCCAAAAATTAAGCCATGTGGTGTGGTTCATGTTTGTTTGGGAATGATCAGGATGCTTGGGCTTGCTTGGGTGTGTCGCTTGGGCTTGCTGCCTGGGCACCGAGAAGGTGATCGAGGAAGAACGACGACCTAAGATGGATCACCGGTGTTGACTTCAGCAGCTGGCACTGGACTAAAGTGAGGGATAGATTGAGCACATATACTTTAGTGTGTATATACCAGCTTCTTCAGTTCGTGACCTTCTTCAAGTCCCCAAATAACCTGTTACAGGCCTAAGTGACCGAACCAACCAGGATGTCAAGAGGTCACTTTGAAGAACCAGGTATAGAAATCTATGAGATGTGGGTGTGTATTTGGGGGGAGACCTCCTCGCCCCATGGGTTGATGAGTTGACCCACCGTTCGACCTTCCAATGGGTCACTGGGGGCGGTCTCCCTACTGTTTCGCTCCACCAGTGTATGTTTCGCTCACGAATCTCGAAGACTCACATGGACTCTGAGAAGCTCCACCCGTGGGTTTCAAGCATTTTTCCTTTGTATAATCTATAGTGGTCTTGGAGGTTTGTTAATCCCCGGGCGTATCCAAACCAGGGATATCCAGTGGAGCAATTGTTCTAGTGGCTTGAGAGTAGATCGCACCATCCCCAACGAACTGGTGGTTGAACGATGGACTTCCGACCTCGAAACCCAACGTTCCGCGATGAATCCTCGCCAAACCTCGCACGCACCCGGCCAAACCGCACCCGAACTCCAGGCCTGGCAATTGCCCACCAGCTGTGGGGATCGCACCGATCTCAGGCGATCGTGGGTCTGTGCGTCTCGGTCGCCCCGGCGACCCGGCTGGGTTTCTTTTTACGGTATGGTGACATCATGTTCAGCTGCAAGGTCACACTGAACTGAAAAAAAGAAACGTGTTTCGCGATCCACATCTGGAGGGATCAGCCTCTTCCGCTCCATCGGCATCCAGCACCAGTGAGTTCCAACGTGTCCGGAGTTCCTGCTCGGAAGCTATTTTTGAAACCAACCCCAGGCCAGTCGAAACGCCGGTGCCTAGTTTGGGTTGAAAACCGGGTTAGGCCGGACGTGGCTCATGTTTGCATGCGTCGACTGTGAAGGTTCTGAACAGAACCCTGTTCAGAACCTTCACAGCGCCCAATGCCTTGCTCCTTCAGAACAGGGTGATCCATCCTTGTCCGCCTTGCTCTGCAGTGTCGAAGCCGGGAGCATGCGGATCCACTGCTTCGTGGCAGGGCTCCCCGGTGGTTTTTCGGTCAGCGGCGGTATGCGGTGGTTTTTAGCAGGACGGGCGCGCTAAGGATCCGAACTGCAACCCAGTTCGGTTCGGAAAGAAGAACGCAATGATACGCAATGTATGACTTTAATTCAAACGCAAGGAAGAGGTCCAAAGTAGTTCTCTCTAAGGTCTAGACACACAAGTACCCCATAAGTATGTATGGTTGACAGTTGGTATGCAGGCCAACTAACTATCCAATCCAATTTGCTAATGTGGTCAGTTGATATCATGTAGTCTAGTCAAGTCATGTTTGGTCCAATCGAATCCACAGATGATCTATGCACACATTGTCGTGTCATAGTTTCAACTATCTTCATTGGGAATGAGTGAGTGTCAATGATCACCGGAGAGATGGGCACTAGGACTTCCGATATCTGAGGAACCTTTCTTGACATCTTGATTCTGTTCAGATTGACATTACTACATTACTGTTGACCTTTATATTACATCTTTATATTACATAAAGATCTCAGATTACTGTTCAGTGTCATCGTCCGTTGAAACGGATGCAGGTCATGGGAGTGTTGTCGAAGACGCTCCTTCCGTGGCGAAACGACATGCAAAGCCAACGGGGAGAAAGCTCCTGTGAGCTGATTCCATCACTACAGAACCCGATGGGAGAAAAAGCAAGCAGCGAACCCAACTGAGCTGATTGGGCCCAAACCACGAAGCAACACCAAGAAACGCAGCGAGACCATCCAGTTTTTTCTTTTGGAGTTTGGGTCCCAGACCCTCAGACAGGCAGAGTTGGATGATATTGTATTGTATTACCTCCAACCTAGTAGCTTCTTGCTACCAGTAGTAATGGCCTCCAACCCAATAGCAATGGCCTCCAACCTTGTAGCTTCTTGCTACTGGTAGTAATGGCCTCCAACCTAATAGCAATGGCCTCCAACCTAGTAGCAT